GTTTTAAAGCTGCGGTTGCTTATTTATCTTGCGAGAGTTGGCAACAGTGCTCAGGAAATCCCTATACTCTATGCTAATATGAACAAAGGCATTGCTATTGCTGTAACTGAGTAAACAGAAGATATAAACGTTTTGAATGATAAAACAAAGACAATAAACACTCGACTGCGACAATGTATAGTTTATCTGTGATATTCAAGTCATCTTTGGTATTTTCATCATAATTAAGTATATTTATAATCCATTGCTAATCAACATAGTCTTTTTACCATATGCTTTTTACAGTATAGAACATATTTTCTGCCTCATTCTGTGACAAGAAGCCACATCAGATCACAAAAGGAAGCAGTTGTGGAGTAAAAACGTTATAGTGTTCTCTTTTGTTGGACAACAGGTTTAGAAATGCTTCTCATTGCAAGTCATTACAAGGGAAGTTTAGCTTTAGTAGGGTGACAATATTTTAGTTTTTCAAAAAAAGGACAGTAGGGGGCGGGTTCGTGGGCGGGGCTTTGCCTAACAGTATAAGTAGCAAGGTTTTTTTTTTGTTTGTTTGTTTGCTTATTTTGTTTGTATAATAAATAAAAAGAAAACAAGTAGAAAGAATAGATAATGCAAGTGTTAGAAGGTCATTATTTATAATAAATAAAAAGAAAATAAGTAGAAAGAATAGAGAAAGAATAGAGAATGCTAGTGTTAGAGGCTCTTCTTTCTTTATAAATAAAACAAGTAGTTAGAATAGAAATAGAACAGAGAGTGCAAATGTTACAGGGTCAAGTTTTTTAATAAAACAAAAACAAGAAGATAAATTAGAATTAGCATTATAATAGAGAGTGATAGAGTTAAAGAGTCAAATGAAGATGAAAGAGATGTGTTTTCAGCTGTTTCTTGAAAGCGGCTCCCTGATGCGCCAAAATTATACACAATATTAGAATGTTAGAATTAGTGGACACGAAAATCGCGGGAGCGAAACACATGTTGCGGGAGCAGGCGGCAATGGTCAGAGATTCAACGGGAGCGGGATTAAGAAAACAGCCGAATCCCGGACATTTTGGGCAATTAAGAAATCCCGGCCGGACTCATTTTTGTAGGTCCAAAAAGAGGACATGTCCGGGGAAAAGAGGACGTATGGTCACCCTAGCTTTAGGCATTTTAATTTAAGAATGTTTAATTTAGCTAGCTAACGGTATCTACCTGCTGCCATCAGAGCAAGTGTAATTACTGCATTCACACGCTCCTCGGATGCTCTCATTTCCCTTTCCGACTTGCTTTCTCAGTCGAGAAATTATTTTTCAAGTGCGGTGCCGGTGATCCTTACGTCCGTTTCGGAGAACAAATATTTCAATCGATCGCTCAAGCATTTAAGTGGCACCAAAATGAGGCACCGAAATCTGCGTTCTGATTCGGTTCTAGTACATAGCGGTTACATACATTACATTCGGTACCCAACACTAGTCTGAATATGTCTATTTCCATACAATATAGTAGGCGAAAACAGTATGTGAAAAGACTATGTCCGAATTCATAGCATTCAAAAAATAGTAGTAGGTGAAAAGTACCCTGATGACCTACCACTACCGCAGAGATTCTGGTGTGTGCATTCGATACACATTTTGCTATCCGAAGCCACGGTAAAGGAGTTATGAATGGCAGTGAAGCGACACTGATCATCACATGACAATGGCAACATGACAAAAGTCAAGCTGCATCTGAAATCATAGATTTATCATAGGTAATCATGATTTCGGATGCAGCTTGACTTTTACAACTTATGCTATTTCTTTAGGAGGGTCCTGGTCACATATGATATCACCATGTAGCACATTTCTAATTGGATAAACAGATTGCGTTACAACTCACTGCATGTTACAACACTCCCCGTTCGTCCATACTTAATAATTAACAAGAATCAGTTTAAAACCTCAGTGACGCACAATCATGACTTGCTTACTATAAATGTTTGTATAAATTGTGAAACAAAACAAGTATCCGCAAGTGGGGCTACATACAATAGACGTCTTACATTGTGCAGTAATGGCGGTCCTGTCTGTGTTTTCAGCCCACTCCAGGCACACAATTGACCCTACTGAGAGCTGTCACATCAACACTCACAATCTGCTTGGGATGTGAAGTGCTTTCAACAGAACCAGTGATAACAGACCAGCTGCGCTGTATCTGTTTAATAACGTCCTTTCTTTCTTTTTGGCTCTATTGTGTTATTCTATCCAGCAACACGCATAAAGAGTGCTAATCAATGTTGTTATGCAACTTCTGAATCTAAAGCTCTGGGAATTTGAAATGAATGATATAGGCCCAAAATTATGTCCATCAATAAATGATCTACTATCTTACATATTAAAAAAAAAAATTACATTAAAGGAATAGTTCACCCAGAAATGAAGATTTGCTGAAGATTTACTCACTCTCAGGCCATCCAAGATGTAAACGAGTTTGTTTCTCTAGATTTGGAGAAATTTAGCATTGCATCACTTGCTCACCAGTGGATCCTCTGCAGTGAATAGGTGCCGTCAGAATCAGAGTCCAAACAGCTGATGAAAAAGTCCATCCCCTGTTGTCCTTTCACAACAGTGAAAATCCACCAACATATTTGTTTTTAAAATGGCTTGGACTGTTTTCATTTATAAACGGTGCTTGATCTGTGCATATTCTCTCCTGATTCAAACATGATGACTTTTTCACTGGAGGAAGCATTATTATGAACTTGGAAGCAATTTGTTTATTACAAACATGCAAATTTCCAATTCACAAGACATTAACTGATGGACTGGAGTCATGTGGATTCCTTGTGGATTATTGTGGATTTTTATCAGCTGTTTGGACTCTCATTCTGATGGCACCCATTCACTGTAGAGAATCCACTGGTGAGCAAGTGATGTAATGCTAAATTCCTTCAAATCTGTTCTGATGAAGAAACAAACTCATCTACATCTTGGAAGGGCCGACAGTGAGTACATTTTCATTTTGGGGGGAAATATTCCTTTAAGAAGAACAAAGTCACCTTGAGTCGTGAAACCATGCGTCTTTATGGATACAAACTCTCTTGCAGCACACTATTATTCGCATTTCACGCATATTAAGCAAATAAATAATGTTTATTTGTAATCATTTTCATTCAGGAGCAGTTAAAAACCAGCTGCACTGATATCACAAACATCAGACTAATCTACTATGGCTAACATGGTTCAGATCTGACCCCTCGTCCTAGTAAATCACCTCTAATGTGTGACTTCACATCACACTTAAATTGAATTCTATATCAAATACAAAATAAATAGCCATCCCAAAATGCCTCAGGATAAGAATAAATAACCTTCGTTGAGGCATTTCCCATTGAACCACCTTTTAAACAACTCTAAACTTGATTAGTTTTTCGAGTGTCCTAAGGGCTTGTTCCAATGACATTTCTGTATATTTCGGGGGCATACAATAAGAAAAACAGATCTATGTGCACATAAGAATCATATTTCATGTATTCACCTGTTATCTTGATTTGTGAAGTGTCACTTTAGATAACTGGGACACAGGAAGAACAAGCCTAAGACATCTAAGACGAAGTGCATTCAAAATGACAGGACTAGAGAAATCAATTATTTTGAAGTCAAGATGTGCTTATTATGCTCTGTCTAACACCCCCGTGGTTGCACAGACCTAAACAGAAAGGAAGAGAAGGAGAGAGAGAGACAGGGAAATCGTGCTTTCACTCTTCCTCAACTAATCACTGGTTAGAGCACAGCACCTTCTGTGCCTTAATCTACCACCTCAACCACCTGACACCTGCTCTACAGAGTGAACACACGATACTGAATATCTCGGCTTCACCTAGGTCACTTCTGCTGGGTCGCATCTGCTACCCAGACGCTCTGGGACAATACAACACAAAGGCACAGGTGCACACAGGAACACAAGTAACTCCTGTCCATTCATACACTGAAACTGTCATGTAGTGAGTCTTAACATGAAACCTGAAAAAAAAAAACTGATGACAGAGAGAGGTGAGGTATAAACTTACTAGTTATAAACTTACACCAGGCAGCTAGTTCTTAGAAAGTTACTCTATAATATAATATAATATAATATAATATAATATAATATAATATATCATATTTTCAGGAAGATCCAAGATTTCCTTTTTTTTTTTTTTCCTATTTGAAAAAGTGCCTTTTTATAAAAATCATAAATATCTGATTTTTAACAATTTACTGACCTTGACACACAGTCATAAGGATCTAAAGGCTTTTCCCTCTTATTCTACAATTGTCAAACGACAAAGAAAATGCTTTCTGCATGTTGGTTACACTTTGCTCTTTGGCGAATAAACATTTTTTTTAAATATTTACAATACTGACTTTTATTAATACAGATAATGCAAACTAATATAGACTTTTGTTTCTTTTTTTACAAGCAGACAGTTAGACCACACTGACATTTGACCATATGTCATTGACTGTGTCTCTCAAACCCTACAGAGCTGTCTACTTAGACAGCATATTTAGGTATCATGTGCGCGTGCACACTTTTTGGGGCATCGAAGACGCCTTCCTCTTCACGCACTCACTAAATTCAGCGGATTATGATTTAGTTTTTAAATCTGCACGCGCACCTAGGATGCCCAAAAATGCTGTCTAGGTAGACACCGCACCAGGATTTGAGACATTTTAACAGACAGTAAAGTTTCTGCTGTTACTAAGCGACAGAAAGTATTTAGCCTACACACTGACATTTAAATAAATCACACAATGAATTAACGCACGTATAACAAATTAGTATATTTAGAAACACATGTTTAAGGCGTTCATTAGTCACAGGGGCAATAGTTTTACATATGTCCTTTGAGGAATTATAATGTCATTGTTACACGACTACGACTAAAATGTGGGTCGCAAAAGACTAAAAATATGGGAAACCACGACATGTATTGTATCTATGACAGATTAAATGAATTATATGAACAACATCATAATATTAAAAACGTTCAGTCTTACCGGACGGATTTTCTTTGATGGTGATTAATTACTGAGAAACGTCCTACAGATGAAGCTCTCCCCGTAGTTTACCTCAGATAAAACATGTAACACCACAAAACTTGAGGATGGGGATGTGAGGACCGTCCTCTATGAATTACTGCCCTTGATCTCATTGACTTGGAGCCCGTGAGTCGCTTTTGACGGGTTTTTAAAGTGGGCTGTAACGAATCTTCAGTTTCCCCGCCTTCGATTGTCTAGACCGAGCCGCGGCCAATCAAATCATTCAATGGAATCTTCGTCACACACTGGACGCAACGCTCCCTTGAAGCCTGTAGTGCGTGCGCTGATTATAACGGGTGCGTTCAGCGTGTGGAGCGTCGCGTCGCCCGCTCGCATTTGATTGGTTTACTAGGTATATAGGGGCGACGTCAGAATTCAGTCACACACAACCCGCCACCGCTCGCTTGCTGTGCTGCTGATGGGAGTGTTGATGGACGCGAGAAAAAAGACACGAGCCGTGTATGGTTATACCAAATGCTGAAAACTGACATCACATCTAACTGTGCGCATCAAATATCTATCTATCTATCTATCTATCTATCTATCTATGCTGCACCTGTCTCACTGTCACTTTAAAAATAATTGTATTAAATATAATTAAAATACACAGGCTAAATATGATTTTGATAAATTTATAATAATAATATCTCTGAAATTTGGCAAAACATTAACTGTTTTTTTTAGAAGTAATTTAGAAAGGGGTGTCAACATTCTAAAATTATGCAATATGTACTTCAAATGCTTAATATTTACATTTTGATATTTTGATATTCAGGGTAACTTTCACACATTAAATATTTGCTATCTCTAGACAACTGAATATATAATCTGAAAAATCTGTTAACATGTTTGCCACTAAATTCTCCGCAATTCATCCTGTAATGATTTGGATGTGGTGTAAAACAGCAAATTGCTTCTTTTTTTTGGCTCAGATTTTCTACAGCAAGTGCATTCTGTTGATTAGAAAAAATTGTGGTTAATTTGGATTCAGATACAGGTCATTATGGGATCCGAGGAAATACAGCAACTTCGCGCTGTGGATCGCCGGATCGGCTTTCACCGTGGACGAAGCGTAGTCCAGCCCAGGGTCATCACGTGTGGTTGCCGCAAGCTCGCCGGCCGCTCCTTCGTCGAATCCACCGGCCGCGCCGTTCTCAAGGCCGCCGGCCTCCGCTCACTCTAGCTCGCCGTGTGTGACGCTGTGTTTGGCCTTTGGAAGGCCAAACAAAAGCCATTTTGTTTGGCCTTCCAAAAGAGGACACGACTAGAAATCAGTGGTTAAGTTGTATTTGCAACACTGTTCCAGAACACTTCAACCCAAATATTCAGATGTGTGCAGCACATTTTATGGAG